GTCTGGCGGCATCATTGCACCCNCTTGTATCACTCACATGTGTGACAGCTTCTCCACACCGCTGAAGCCAGTCGCCCGCTCGTGGTGCTCCTTGATCACTCGGGGCAGCTCCTCGAGCGGCACCACGGGGCACCACCGCCACTCTCCGCTGCGCTTGACGCAGCGGCACAGGATGTCCTGACCGCCAGCGCCCTTCAGCACCTGGAAGAACTGCAGCACCTTCTTGCTGTAGTTCTTGGCGCCGCCCTGCACTGCCGCCCCCCCTCCCGCACCCCGCCGCCGCCGGCCTGAGGGCGCCTGCTGGTCGCCCTGCTTGATCCGGATGATGCCCTCTACATCTGACTTAGTGAGAAACACATTCTTGGCGCCGTTTTGGCGCCGTTCTAAGGCATAAAGGATGACAGGTTGGTTCATAATTTTAAATTTGCGGCAGCTGCGGGGTGCGGGAGGGGAGAAATAGAAGCCTTAGAGACTCTGAAAGGCGAAGGAAAGGGAGGGATCGCGGGAGAGAGCGTGCCTGATGAGCCAGACGAATCGGGGGAGGTGCCACATCAGCGGGCAACACATGGCAAAGCCGGCGGTGCGCTCGCCGCCAGGGGCCGCATCGCGCCGTGCACCGGGCAGCCGTCAGGGCGCTTCTGCTGGAGGTAGCCTGGGTTGACTCGGGCCATCAGCTTGTTGATGGGCAGTACCACCAGGAAGTACACCACGATGCACACCATCAGGACTGCAGCGGTACGGGCAAAGCACAGCACGCGGGGTTGGCGGCTGGCAGCAGGGCCGGGCCTGGCGGCAGGCAGGCAGCGGGCTCGCAGCAGGCAGTTTGCCGGCAATCCTGGCGGGCAGGCGCAGGCAGGCCAGTGCAGGCAGGCGGCTGGACTTGCAGTAGATGAACACGTTGATGAAGTGGCCGTAGAAGAAGGTGCTGCCTGCGGGTGGGGAAGGGAGGGCAGCGCAGCCGCGGGCGGCGATGAGCTCTTCCACGGAAACCCACCTTTTGTTTGTTGGGCCAACCACAGCAAACACGCGCTCGCGCACACAGCAGCACCCCTGCTGCTCCCTGCTCTGCCCACCGTTGACGCTGAAGGTCAACTCGTTGAAGTCGCCGCCCTGGAAGATGGCGCCAATCTGCGGCAGTGCAGGGTAAGCACGCGCGGCTGCTTTGTCGGCGGCAGCGGGACAGGCACAGGCCATGCCGCGGCACCGCTGTTGGGCAGCCCGTCGCCATGCGCCCCAAGCAGGGGCTCACCAGGGGGGTGATCCAGTCGCTGACGAAAGACTTGATGAGGCTGACGGAAACGGCAGGGGAAGGGGCGGAGGCGGGTCAGCCAGGCGTGCACCGCTGATATCATACCATCCATGGCGCCGCGTCAGCCCACGGCAGCAGCTGTCTCCCTGCTTCACACCCACCCACCTACAGCCGCAACCCTAACGTCTCGCCCTGCCCCATTCTGCCGGCAGCAGGCCCACTCACTCGGTGAAGGCAGCGCCCACGACGATGCCCACCGCCATGTCCACCACATTGCCCCTGCGGCAGGGTCGTGGACATGGCGGTGGGCACCGATTTAGGGTTTTTAGGGTTTAGGGTTTAGGGTTTTTAGGGTTATTTAGGGTAACCCTAAACCCTAAACCCTAAACCCTAAACCCTAAAAAAGTCGTATTCTTCCGTCCTCTTGCCTCCAGCGTCGGTTCTGGCACCTGAGGCTGGAGCCTTTCAACAACAGCGCAGGTAACCATCGCACACGCCTGGTCATGTGAACAGTCATTTGCCCCGCCGAGGGCCCAAGTGGGCCCTAACTAGTGCTAGACTGGCAGAGTTGCCCCTCATTTGATTTCGCCTCTCCCCCGCGCTCCAAACTGTGGATACCATACATGAAGTGGGCAGCGCCTCAAGCAGGTGCTGGGAATGCCCACTATGCAGCACTGGTGCGGCGGTGCCAGCGGTGCTCTCGTCTGCCTGTGCACACCAGTGCGGGGGGTGACAGAGCACCTGCCGACAATGTCTGTTCCGACAATGTCAGTGCACGGAGACGTTTCCTCATCCCAGAGTGTGATCCAGCGTCAACCCACGTAAGGTGCCCCGGCAGCGAGGGCAAGCAGGCGCCGGCGCCACGAGCGGACGCAGCATAGACAGGCGTACCGCCGAGAAAAATATCGGCGAATAGTCCACGGGGTAGAGGTGGTGTTGAGTAACACCGATGGGAAAAGGGAAAGGGAGGTAGGAGAGAGGGGGAGCGGACGCAGCATGCCGCAGCATGCAGACATTTCGCATTGAACCGCCTTCGATTGGTTTCAGAGGCGCTTCTATTGCAGCAAGCAATCCGAGACCTGCTTGCCGCTGGCAAGGGCGGGAGCCCAAGGGGTGTCGGACTCATATGTGAGTCCGGCATCGCGTTCATTGCTACCGATGGTGGCTGTACGCTGCATGACGCCCACCCGGCGGGCTCCCGCGCACCGCCGCGCCTCGGTCCTCCTGCTGGCCGGCGGGTTCGTCGCTTTCGTGCTGGTCCTTGTGGCAGTGGAGTCCTGGTGGCAAGTGGAACCAACTCTGAACCGCCGCCGAGCGTCAGGTAGGGGGCCGGCTCATGAGGCCGCCGCCACCGCCGCCGCCACTCCTCCTGCCCGATGGCACCGTGCCACGCCAATCCTGCCGCTGCGCTGCCTCGCCCCTTGCAGCGCTCTTCCACCACCCCCTGCACCAGCGGCCAACTAGCGCCAAGCGGGCATTCGACTATCTTCTAGAGGCTGCGGCCTGGGAGGCGCCCAGCTACCCGCAGGCGTGCCGCGAGCGGTACCACGGCCTGCCCTTTTTGCGCACTATCAACGCCTCCTGGCAGCAGCCGGTGTGCACGCCGCAGGTAACAGAGGCCAGAGGTGGATGGCCGCCATCCGTGACCACCGCGGCGGGCTGCTGGGCGAGGCGCCTCGCATCGATGCCTCACGGCCCATTCCCCGCCTGTGACCCACGCAGGCCGCAGGCCCGCTGAACAGCAGCATCAGCTGCTGGTTCCAGTTTGACAGATACAGCGAGGCCTACTGCACGGGCGCCAACCTGGCGCTGGATCTGGTCAAGTTTGAGGTGGGCGCCGGGACCGCGGCGGTGTGGATGCCATGCCGGCTCGTTAGTGTGCTGCTCTGCCTGCTGCTCCTGCTGCACCACGCAGTGCTGTGGTTGCTGTGCAAGATGCTGAGAGGGCTGCCAGAACAGACCGCAGCTGTGCTGGCAGGGCGCGGCCTGTCCGAGTGCTGCATCCATCTCCTGCTCACTGCCGGGGCTATATGCAGGAGGAGGAGGCCTCGATACCCAGGCAGACGTCCAACCGGGGCGACGACGGCGGGTTCAAATCCTACAAGCGGCTGGGGGTTCCCGGGGAGCTGGTGGGGGACTGCCAGCTGCACGGCAAGGTGGCGGGAGAGGACAAGTGGCAGGTGGGGGACAAGTTGGGCTGGGGACCAGACGGGCCAGGGCGGGGTGCGCTGCATGCGGTGCTCGCCCACGTGAGCCGACTCGGAGCCGGCCTTTGGCGCCTGCTGTGTTTCTCCGATCGACTCTGCAGGAGGATTCCTTTGGGCATGGCGGCCAGGAGTGGCTGTACCGTAGCTTCAAATCCTCACTAGGAGGTGAGGGGTGTGGCGGCTGCGCTGCTGCCTGCCGGCAGCGGATCCGCCCGGCTGCCTGCCTGCCGTGGGATACCCTCCACCTAACCTTTGTCCCTCCCTGCATCGCGCCTGGCTGGTGCACGCCTGCTGCTGCCACCGCAGAGGCGCAGCAGCCGCGGTGTGTGGCCTGGGTGTCTCACCCTGCGTACTTTCTTAACGACAAGTACGACAGCCTCAACCCCTGGCATGCCCTGGAGGATGTGACCCATGCCTTTGAGGCGTACGCGCTCAAAGGCTGGGGCCGAGAGGCGCAGGTGGGGCGGGCAGGCAGCCATCAAGGCCGGCATGGCGTGTGGCGTGTGGGGGGTGGTGTTGAGTGTGAGGGGGGAGGTTGTAGAGAGGTGGGTGGATGGGAAGCCATTGCGCTGCTGCTGTTCTTGCTGGTGCTGCTGCGTGCTCTGCATCCTCCTGCCCTCCCTGGTCCCGTTGGCAGCGCCCCGAGGCCGCCACCGCCAGCCCATGCTGCCTATGCCTGCCCTTGCACCTCCCTGGTACCGCCCTGGTAGCGCAGGTGATAGTGCTGGACCAGGTCACCCCGCAGAGCGTGCTGGGCCCAACCTACCTGGCGGTCTGGGAGAAGGCCTTTAGCCCCCTGCACCCGCCCGCCCTGCTGCGCACGCTGGCAGAGGAGGCGGCAGCCAAGGCCAAGGCGGCGGGCGGCGGGCAGCTGCCGCCGGGCGCGGCGCTGTGCTTCACAGGCAAGCCGGCCGGCGGCGCCGGCGCGCCGGGCTGCCGTGCTGCCGTGCAGAGGCCTTGCTGCACCGTGCCGCTCTTGCCAGCCACGTGAAACCTTCCCCATCAGCCTGCCTCTCATCATCCCTCCCTCTCCAGACGCCTTCTTCAGCGTTCACGGCGGCATCTCGCTGCTCTCCCGCTCCATCGCCGCCTGGACTCCCTGCCCAAACAGCACCACGGTTAACGCCATGGTGCGCGCTCGGGGGAGGGCAGGGCAGGCCGCGGACTGTGGCCGTGCCGCACCGCTTCCGCTGGTCCTGCTGCCGGCCAGCTACCGATGCGGAGGAGCAACCGCATGCGCCTTCCACAATCTGAAGGTTGTGTGCAGCAAGGCTCACCTCCCGCCGAACTCTGCCTCTCCGCCTGTGGACTGCGCTGCTGCTCCTCGCAGGTGCGCTTCATGCTGGACGGGCTGCGCCTGAGCGACGTGCGGCCGGCCAGCCATGCCGCACTGCTGCAAGGCGCCCAGGGGCAGCAGCAAGCAGGCCAAGGGCAGCAGCAGCGGTTAGGGCAGGGCCAGCAGCAGCAGCAGCAGCAGCAGCCGCCAGGTCAGCCGAGGGAGGCCAGCGGGCGCATGCGCGTGGTGTGGGCGCTGCGCTCCACGCGGGCCGGCTTCCAGCGCGAGATGCTCGACGCACTGCAGGAGCGCATCCCCAAAGAGACCGGGGCTGAGGTGAGGGCAGCAGCCGCAGCCCCGCTTCACCTGCCGCCATACAGCCACGGCCCTTGCCATATGCTTGCCTCCCGCTCACCGCCCCCTCGCCCCCGACCCTACACCCCTGCCCTCGCCCGCTGCCGCCCCCGGCAGGTGGTGGCGGTGGAGTTTGGCGGGCTGAGCATGGAGGAGCAGATCCGGCGGGTGCGGCAGGCGGATGTGCTGGCGGGGTACCACGGCGCCGCGCTCACGCTGGCGTTGTACATGAGCGAGCCGTCGGGGCTGGTGGAGGTGGAGGGGTCGTTCCGGTGAGGGCTGGCGGCAGCGTGTGATGGTGGCGGTGGTGGTGGTGGTGGTGACGATCGTTGTCTGCGGGCTTCCAGGCCGCACGCTTCTGCTGGGCGCCGTGCCAGGCGCCGACTTGTTGGTGTCACCTGTTGGCTCCCCTCCCTCTCGCCTGCCCATGCTCATCGCCCCGCCTGCCCCCGTCCCCTGCCCCTTGTGTTCCACAGGTGCACCTGCTACACCAACTGCGCGCTGTGGCGGGCGCACCCCTACACCCTCATCAAGACCTCTGAGTTTGCCGAGAAGACGGAGGGGGACCTGGTTGAGCGGGTGGTGGAGGCGGTGAAGGAGATGCTGGGGCGGGTGGCCAAACGCATCCAGGACGGCGCCTGATCCCTGGCGCCACCCCAGCTGGCTGCCGCTGAGCTGGAAGGAGTCGGAGGGATGAGGCTGGGCCGGGGGCGGGAGCCTGGATGGGACGGCCGGCAGGCGGTGGCCCGACGCCGCGGCTTGCGACGTGCATGGGTGGCGGACCAGTGGAATTTAATTTGAACTGAATCATTGAAAACATTAACTGCTTCCTTGAGATTTATGGACTCCTTTAAATGCGAACTTGCGCTCCCAAGGACAGAGAGCATCATCAGGGGCGGCCCCGCCCTGCTGACGGCGCGGCGACGCGGGTGGAAAGCCGGCAGGGCGATGTTGGCCCTGCGCGCCTGCGGCCTCATCGCCTCATCGCACAGATCCGAGGCTGGCCTCAGAGCCCGTGTGTACCCTCGCCACAGCAAGGCAGCGCCCCAACCCAGTGCCCGCCCCGCCTCGGCTCCTGCGCGCAAACCCGACTGCAGATTGTCACCAGCAGCATGCAGAGCTCGCGATCTGCTGCCAGGAAGCTGGCCACGGGCCTCCGTGGGTTTGCAAACGCCAAGAAGGTGGGGTGGTGGGGTGATCGGCCGCCGCCTCGCCCAGGGCTTCCACTGAAAGTCAATTCACGGTTGCCAATGTGCAGAGGGCGCCTGCGTTCTACAAGCCCGGTGCCAGCTCGACGGAGCCTGCTGTCGCCAAGGCCCCAGGCACCAAGCAGGCGGCCTCCAGCACCGCAGAGGGCAGTACAGCGTCCGCCAAGCCGCAGGGCGGAGCAGCAGAGGCAACGGCCAAGCCCACCGCCGCTGCTCCCTCGGCTGGCGCCGCTGCCACGCCTCCGACTGCACCAGCCACGCAGCCTGCCGCTGCTGCGCCAAAGCCTGCAGTGCCCACCACCTCGCCGGCAGCAAGCGCAGCCGCGGCTGCAGCGCCAGGCGAGCAGGCTGCCGCAGCAGCCAAGCCCGCACCTACACCCGCCGCCGTCGCGCCCAGCACAGCGGCAGCTGCCGTCCCCAAGCCGGCAGCCACACCACCTGCAACAGCTGCCGTCCCCACGCCGGCACCCACCGCTGCGCCCAGCACAGCAGCAGCAGCCGTCCCAAAGCCGCCAGCCTCCGCGCCCGCAGCCCCCAAGCCGGCGCCCACCGCTGCACCCAGCACAGCAGCAGCGGCCGGACCCAAGCCGCCAGCCTCCGCGCCCGCGGCCCCCAAGCCGGCACCCACCGCTGCACCCAGCACAGCAGCAGCGGCCGGACCCAAGCCGCCAGCCTCCGCGCCCGCGGCCCCCAAGCCGGCACCCACCGCTGCGCCCAGCACAGCAGCAGCGGCCGGGCCCAAGCCGCCAGCCTCTGCCCCCGCGGCCCCCAAGCCGGCACCCACCGCTGCGCCCAGCACAGCAGCAGCGGCCGGGCCCAAGCCGCCAGCCTCTGCCCCCGCAGGCCCCAAGCCGGCGGCAGGCGGCGGTGGTGCAGGGCAGCAGGCAACTGGTGCTGCGGGCGGCGGCGGCGGCGGCGGCAATGGCTGGCTGCTGCACCCATCTGTGCCGATCGATGTGCGCATTCTAGGGGCGGGGTTGGTGGGTGCTGGAGCCCTCGCGTACAGCCTCAGCGGCGGCGGCGACGGCGGCGACAGGCCTGGTGAGGCAAAGCAGGGGGTGGTGGAGGAAGCAGGCTTCACGATGCAGCCAGAGGAGGCAGCAGGCCCAGCCCCTGCAGAAGCGGTGGCGGCAGCGGCGGCGCCAGAGGCGGGCGAGGCGGCGGCGGCGCCCGAGGCGCCCGCGGAGGCTGCCGCGCGGCAGGCAGAGGGCGAGGCGGCGCCTGCTGCTGCCCAGCAGGCTGCAGACAAGCAGGAGGAGGAGGCGACTTACGTGGATGGCTCTGCGGCAAGCGCTGCCGCCTTTGCCTCTCGTGCCGCCGTGTTTTCTGCTGCCTGTACCAGCTGCTGCATGCCGGGCTGTGTATTCACTTTGGCTGCCGCCACAGCATGCTTGAGCCTCGGCATGTGCTGCTGCGGCTGCAGGCTGCCTCGCTGTTGCTGCCAGGTTGCCGCTGACGCGCTCGCCGCCACCACTGCCGCCGCTGCTGCCTCTGCAGGTGCTGGGCGTGATTGAGGAGGTGTTCAGCAAGGAAGCCACCGAGCAGCTGCGGGAGCTGGAGGAGCAGGCGGCGCAGGAGGCGGCAGCCGCGGCGGCCGCCAGCCGCCAGAAGGTGGCAGCCGCGGGCAGGGAGGCGGCGGCGGGCGGCGCCGAGGCCGCCATCGCCGCCGCCGCGGCCAAGGCTGCCAAGGCGGCTGCCGCGGCCAAGGCCAGGGCGGATGCAGCTGCGCAGCGGGCCGAGGAGGACCTCGTGGCGATGCAGTCTGCTGTGGCCGACCAGGCGGGGGAGGCTGTGGCCAGCGGATTTGTGCAGGTGCGGTACGGGGCGGTACGGGGCGGTACGCACGCCCCGCTGGGCGCCTGCCGCGCCAGCACGCCGGCCCGCCGGCCAGCGGTTTCGGGCCGCCTGGGGGTGCCAGCGCCTCAGGGTGGCAGGGAGTCTAGCCCTGGCTGTGTGTGTGTGCCGAGCGGCTGCATCGCCCACCCCGCCTGCCGGCCTGCCTGCTGCCCACACATGGCCCACTTGCCCGCCCACCACCCGCCCTCCGCCACCTCCCCTCCCTGCCCCCCTGCCCCGCTGCCGCTCCGCCGCCACTCCGCTGCGCGCCCGCAGAGCCTGCGTGCCGAGCAGCCGTCGATCACCAGCCTGCTGCAGGCCGGCAAGCACAGCAAGGAGCAGAAAGAGGCTGCTGCGGCTGCTGCGGCGGCGACGGAGCCGCCGCCACCCGTCCAGCCGGCGCCCGCCGAGGTGGCAGAGGCGGTGGCGAGGGCGCAGCGGCTGCTGGGCGTGCAGCTGGACGTCAGCGCCGCCGGGCTGATTGCCGAGGCGATGCGGCACGGCATGGGGCCGGCAGAGGACTGGTCTGATTACCCGCAGCGCCACAGGTGCGCAGCGTGCGCAGCGTGGCCGCCCGAGCCCGCGGCTGCTCCCGGGCCCTGAGGCCCGGCGCTGCTGCGGCGGCGCAGCGAGCGTGGGCCGCCCGCGGCCGGCCGCGCCTCCTCTGCTTCTCCCGCCCGCCCGGCACCGCTGTGCTGGCGGGCCGGGGCGTCGCCCTCCGGCATGACGCTGACCCCTCGCCTGCCTTGCGCCCGCCCTGGCCAACCCCCTTGCGCCCGCCCCGCAGGCAGGCGGAGGCGGATGCTGCGGTGCTGGGAGAGCTGCTGGAGGCTGCGGGCGCCAGCGTGGAGCGCCAGCTGGCGGCGGCGGCGCGCGAGGGCGAAGCGGGCCGCGCCGCGGCGGCGGCGGCGCGGCGCCAGCTGGCGGAGCAGGCCGAGTCGTTCAGGGCGGTGCTGAAAGAGGCGCTGGCGCGCGCCGAGGAGCAGCAGCGCCAGCAGCTGCGGCGGCAGGCCGAGGAGCTTGCCACCGCGCACGCGGGTGCGCCCTGCGCGCGTTTGGGTGTGGTGTGTGTGTGTGTGTGTGTGTGTGTGTGTGCTCGCGCGCATGCGTGTGTGCGTTTGCACCCCTGCACCGCGGTGCTGCAGGCCCAGCTGGGCAGCCAGCAGGCGCTCCCCGCCTGCCTGGCTGCCCGCCTGCCCGCCGCCTCACGCTGCGCTGCGTTGCGCCGCGCTGCGCCCCCCGCAGAGATGACTGTGCGGGAGCGCGCGGAGCGTGCGGCCAAGCTGGATGCCGTGCGAGAGCGGCTCAATGCCCTGGAGCTGGCGTTCCGGCGCCGCAGGTGCGCTCCAGCTGCAAAGGGCTGCGTGTGAAGGGCGGCGGTGTGTACGCCTGGGTGTCGCGGCAGGGCCGTGAGCAGGTGGCTGCGGCTGGCGTGCTGCGGCTGGCAAGCCCCCCTTCTGGTGCCCTTGTGTTCGGGTGATGGGGGGGAGGGAGCCAGAGGGGGAGGGAAGGGACCAGAGGGGCTCCTCAGGCTGGTGCCTGCTGGCGCTTGCTGGCCCGACCTCGGCCCCCGGCAGCACACCCGGCAGCACACCCCCACCCGCTGCTCTCCACCCTGCCGCGCCGCAGCACCGAGCAGCGCACCAGCCACGGCGCCCACCAGCTGTCTCTGGGCGCCTTCTCGCTGCGCTCGGCGCTGGCGGCGGGCGCGCCGCTGGCGCAGCCGCTCGACTTTCTGCGCGGCCTGGCTGCGGCGGACCCCGTGGTGGCGGCGGCGGTGGGCGCGGTACCGCCCGAGGCGGCCGCGGCGCCGGTTCCGACCCGTGACCAGCTGGCAGACGGCTTCCGCGACGTGCAGCGGCTGAGCCGGGAGCTGAGCATGGTGCCGCAGGGGCAGGGCGGCGTGCTGTCGGTGGCAGTGGCCAAGCTGGCGGCCAAGCTCAAGGTGGGTGGCTGGGTGGCTGGGGGCGAGGCAGAGCTGCCGATGGGTTGTTGGTACTATGTGGGGGCTTGCGGCAAGTCGTGAGTGAGGAGCAAGGGCCGAGCAGCGCCGGCGCTGCCCAGCCCGCGACCCGCGCCTCTGCTCGCCTCCCTGCATCCACACCCTCCTCTCGGCTGCCGCAGATTGCCGAGCGCGGCCCGCTGGCTGCCGCCCTGCCTGGCGACGGCATCGACAAGCGCCTGGCGGCGGCGCAGCAGCGGCTGCTCGACGGCGAGCTGCTGGCGGCGGCGGCGGAGCTGGAGGCGGCGGTGGCGGGCACCGCGGCGGCGGGCGTGGTGGCGGACTGGGCGCGCTCGGTTCGGCTGAGGGCCGCCGCGGAGCAGTCGGCGGCGCTGCTGGAGGCGCACGCGGCGGCGGAGACGGCCAGCCTGGCATGAGCTGGGTCCTTTTGTGCTGCCTGCTTGTCGGGCACCACTTCACGCCGCTCGTTGTTGCGTTGTGCCCCTCTCTTTTTTTTCCCACGCAGCAGCTCCCGCTTCATCTGCTGTTGCTGCCCTCACTCTCATTGCTGCACCTGCGTCGTTGTCAGGCAGGCTGTAATCAAGCAGCCTGGGCCAGGTCGTGTGTGGGTGCCTCAGTCAGATGACGGGGCGGCAGAGCCTGTGGCGGGCGGCGGCGGTCGCGGCGGTCGTCGCCGTGCGGCGTAGACCGTTGGCCCCGATCATTGAAAGGGAAGCACCAATAGGGCAGATTAGGCGCGTGGCAGTGCGAAATACAAACACCCTTGAGTGGCATGCCAAAATCAACCTTGGAGGCACCGCTGCCATGCAGGGCGCCAAGAAAGCAGACCAGATGCTCTGCGGTCGTTCCCTTCTCTCAGCGGATGCTCCTCGGCTGCCCACATATCGAACCTGTGGCGGCAGCCAGCCCGCCCCCAATGCTGGGCCGCCTGCTGGCCTGCCTCAGGCCGGAGCCACCCCCCGCCGCCGCCCAGCTCTGCGCGGCGGCTGCCCTGCAGCAGCTGCGGGAGCTGGTGGTGTGCGGCGGGCTGCGCCAGGATGAGGGCGCCCTGCTGCTGGCGGTGGCCACCCTTCTGAGAGCTCAGGAGCTGCGGGTGCTGGATATGAAGGCAACCTGCACCGAGCTGCTGGCGGCGGCGGCCAGCGGCGGGCGGCTGAGCCAGGGCGCCGCGGTGCAGGTGGGCGCACACGCGAGGCGTCGGCAGCCGCAAAGCTTTGGTCGCCACTTGCTTGAGTTTGCGGAGGGCAGCACATGCCTCCCTGCCCGGCTGCTTTGCCCCTCCTGCTTGTCAACCCCGCTCTCTCTTTCTTTCCTTCTTTCTTGCCTTCTTCCAGCTGGTGCTGCTGCTCGTTGACCATGGCGGCGACCCGGCTGCCCGGGATGGCAGGGCCGTCGTGGCGGCGGTGCAGGCGGGGCGCCTGGCCGTGGCGGAGGCGCTGCTGGCGCGCTGCGGCGGCGGCGGGCGCGCGGTGGGCGGCATGGCGCTGCTGCCGCTGCTGCAGGACGCAGTCGCCAGCCCGCTGCTGGTCAGTGCTGGCACGGGTGAGCTTGGCCTGGCCGACTTTGAATGCATGAGTGAATTGAGGGCAGGGCCGGGATCTGGATGGGGTGCTGGTCTAAAGGGGTGCTGCCGTATGTTTGCTTCCTGGCGGTGCAGAGGGCAGTTGGCTGATCATCGTGCCAGGGCCTGCCCGCCGCTGCCCGGCTGCAGATGTGTCGGCCACCGCCAGCATGGCGGCGCTGAGGTGGCTGCTGCGCCGCATGCCTCCCGACCACCTGGCCGGCCTGTGCATCGAAGGGCTGACGCTGCCGCACGCGGCGCTGCAGGTGCTGGGCTGCGCCGCCCCGCTTTCGTCGCAGCAGGCGGCAGGAGGGTTGCCTCCCCGCCTCCCTGCCTGCGCCCCGCCGCAGCGCCGCTGCTTGCTCATGACGCTGCCGCGTGGCTGCCCTGCCCCCACCGCCCCTCCAGATCTGCGCCACTCGCATCGGCTTCCAGTGGCAGGAGGCGCTGTGGATGGGGCTGCACCCGCAGGCCTGGGGGGTCATGGGGTGAGAGGCCTGTCTGTGCTGCATTGTGCACGGAGGTCCAACAAGCAGCATAACACGAAGCATAACAAACCAAGCGGCTCGTGGCTTCCGCTCAAGCATATGCAGCATGACACGCCTGCTCCTCTGAGTGCCTGCCCTCGTGCCTGCGTGTGCTCCACCCCACCCCCGATTGCAGGATGGTCAGCCATCACATGCAGCTGCAGGCGGTGCAGCGCACGGCTGCGGTACTGGAGCTGCTCGTGGCGGCGGGGGCCCCGCCTGTGCCTGCGGAGCAGCAGTGCATCCCCATGCTCTCGCCCGAGGCCTGGCAGTTCCTGCGGCTGGCGGCCACGGCATGGCCGCAGCAGTGGAGCCAGGGCGCCCACCGGCAGTACCACGCCAGCTTCCGGGCAGGCGCCAGGGCGCTGCTGCTGGCCGCGCGCCGCGGCTTTGTGGCGCCGCCGTGCAGCGGCGCTGACGACGGCGGCGAGCAGGCATCCCGGCCATCTGGCACCTCTGTTGAGAGGGGTGGGATGCCAGAGGTGCGGCAGAGGCCCCCACCTCGGGAGTACCACCTGCCGCCGCTCGTGATAGAGCGGGTGGTGCAGCTGATGGCGCAGCGGCAGCGCGACTGGGTGCAGCCCAGCTGAGCTCTGTCTGCCGCCAACAGGCAACAGTTGCATGGGCGTTGGCATGTCAGGGCGCATTGCCATTCAACTCTAACAGCACAGAAGGCAAACGGGTTGGGGCATGCGAGCCGCGGGCGTTGCACGGCACAGAGGCAGCATTGCATGTGGCTAAGGCCAGTGCGTGTGTTTCGGGCAGTTGGCAGGCGGCGTCGAGGCCGTCAGCCGCATCTGTCCACACGCCCGTACTCGCCCTCTGGCGTGGCCCTGCCGCTGCCCCCCCTCTCCTCCCGCTCCAGCACCACGTCCCTCCAGCTCTGGCGCAGCGGCTCGGCCTCTCCCAGCGGCCCCTCCTCCAGCTCCACCTCCTGCACCGCCAGGAGCAGGCAGGCCGCGGCAGCACATTGAAAGCCGCGCAGGTGCACCATCTGCCACACAACGCACAACCCTGCATTTGAACAGCACAGCTACACCGCATCTCCGGTACCGCACCGCACCTTGCCCTGCACGCGGTACCAGGCGGGGTCGCAGTCAAACTTGATCCCCAGCTCCACGTGCCCGCTGTCTGTGCGCCGCCCCGCGTCCCACACGATGGGGGAGGCGTCGGCGACCAGCAGCAGCGCCGCGTCCTCGATGCGCGGCGCCGGCGGGCCGCCCGCGGTGCCGCACCACGCGGTGCAGCAGCTGGCCTCGTCCGGCGCCACCCCCGCCCTGAACCCCACCTCGTAGCGGCTGTACCGGCAGGCCCGGGCCGCGCCGCGCATGCGCACCGCGTACCGGCTCCCATCCTCCAACTCCAGCCGGATGCTGTCGCTGCCGCCGCCCTCGCCCGGGCCCCTCACGCGGCGCAGCCGCTTGCCCACCAGTTCTGCCGAGGGGTCGGTCCCAGCGCCATACTCCCAGAACCCCAGCACCGTGTGCTGGTCGTCCTGGTCCGCCCAGGGCGCCCTGTGAGACAGCGGGGCCAGTCCAAGGTTGAGCGCGGCAGCACCCTGCTGGCCCGCGCTGCTGCAGCTGGCCATGGCTCCACAGGGCGGGGAGGTTGCAGCGGGGAGGGAGGTTGCAGCGTCTGCCGTGGTGCAGGAAAGGGAGCTGAGCAGGCACCCAGCAGGCACCCGTGCTTTACAGTTGGTGAATTCAGAGACGGAATGCACCAGGATGCACTGTATTTGCAATTAAAGGTCGATGCACCAAGGAGGCAAGGGGGGTGGGCCATGGGTTGTGGTGTAGTGTGGCAGGCTACCGCAAACAAGGGGCTGCGGGGCAGAGGATGGCAGGCTACCGGCGTGCACCCGGGGCAGCAGGCTTGCTGCCGGGGCACAAGGGCCAGGTGGCTGCCGGCACACAAGGGAAGGGACATGCGGGGCAGGGGGCAAGGGCTACCGGCACACAAACGACATAGAAGAAAGATCAAGATCATTTACCGCGGGGTAGGGTTCCAAGAGGGATGGGCAAGGCATTTGAGGTGATGGTCAAGGTATGGCAGGGAAAAGGGCTCTTGGTACAGAGTGACACGCATGCAGAGCAGTAACAGGCACAAGAAGAGGACGGAGCACTCGGCAGGTAGCTGGCATTTGTTCAGGGAATTGAAATGGGGGGGAATGAAATGGGCGATTGAAAAGGCACGGGGATGAAACAATGCCCCGGCGATCTGCCTGGTCGCTACTATTACCAAAAGCGACACACTTGGGTGGTATGCAGCAAGCCTGGATGCGAAATGAGCATCAGGGGATGGTCGGCATCAAGTGCAGGCCGCGGCAGCCGCGATGACTGCCGGGGCAGCGGCGGGCAGGGAGGAGGCAGGCCCGCCGCACGAGCCTGCGCTGCCCTCGCCGCCCTTGTGGGCGCTGCAAGCCTGCGTGCCTGGCGCAGCCGCGTCGCGGCGAATGCCGGCGACTGCCTCGCGTACCAGCGCCTCGGCGGCGGCGCGGTCCGAGGGGCCAGCGACAGCCGCAGGGGCGCCGGCGGGAGCCTGGAGCTCCTCCTCCTCCTCCTCCTCCTCCTCCTCCTGCTCCTCCCCGGGTGCAAGCTTCTCTATCTCCTTGAAGGTCAGTGACGCCCCGCCGCTGCTAATCAGCCGGCCCTGCAGCAGCGGCGTCGCGGGCGCACAGGGAGCGGCAGCAGCAGTCGGCGGCGGGTTGGAGGGCGCGCAGGCCAGCCGGGGAAGGCCAGGCCACGCGGCGGACGCAGCTCGGCGGTACGGAAGGCGTCCGGCCGCGGCGCGGGCGCGCGGGCGCGCGGCGCGCCGCCGGCGGGCGCCGCTCACGCTCTCGGCGGCGAGCCGCAGCTCGCGGCGGGCAATCTCCAGAAAGTTGGGCACAAAGGGCGCGGCCTCGGCGTTGATCATTGCCATCTGGAACTGCCCCAGCACCTGCGCACGCACGGGGTCAAACCGCGTGGTTTAATAACGGCTGGCTGCGGCGCCAGCGGTGCCACGGCACGGGCGCGGCATCGCCCCGCCGGGCCAGCGAGGCAGGCGGACAGGGCGGGCGGGCAGGCGCCCGCCTGCGGCCGCGCTCCCGGCCGCACGTGGCGCCTGCCGCCAGCCCCGCCGCAGTGCCCCTCTCGTGCTCCCGCGTGTGCCCACCGCACCCCACACCCCCAATGTACACCCCCCCCCCACACACACACACACACAAATACATACACACCCACCCACACACAGAGCAGAGCAGAGCGGGCTCAGGCAGGACGGCAGGCGGCCAGGGCTCACGTTGCTGTGCAGGAGGCCAAAGTCCATGATGAGGTGGAACTCATGCTCCGCCAGGCTGTCCAGCCCCTGCGCCACATCCAGCACCTGCGGAGGGGCCAGGGGGGCGTGCTTATGGCTTGGTGGCGACCGTACATGCGGCGGCAGCGCGCGTGTGTGATTGTGTGTGTGGCGTGCGTGGGTGGGGAAACGGAGGCAGGGCGGCGTGTGCTATGGTATGCGCGCGGCGGCGGCAGCTCACCTCCAGTGCCGCCGCCGCCTGGGCGTGCATGGTGAGCTGGCGCGGCCAGGCGGCGCCGGCGGCCAGCAGCCGCTCGTGGGCGGCCAGCGCCTGCTGCAGCTGGCCCTGCAGGTGCTGCCGGTCCTGGGCGATGCGCGAGCTCTGCAGCCGGCGCACAAAACACAGGGCGGGCTAGGGTGAGGTGGCAGGCGAGGCGCCGGGCACTGCTCTGCAGACTGCAGACGGCGCTGGAGGTCCCCAGCTTGCGGCTGCAGCCGCGGCTGCCCGGTGAGGTAGCAGATGCCGCTGCTGCCCCAGAGCGGGCGGCAGGCGCGGGGTGCGGCGGGTGCGGCTGGTGTGCGGCGGTATGGCGGTACGGCGGTACAGCAGGCGTACCTGCTTCAGGAAGCGGCGGTACCCCCTGAACAGCAGGTGCAGGTCAACCTCTGAGAGCTCCACCTTGGCCTGCAGGCGGGGATGGGGGTACGGGTTGGGGATATGGAGGGGTTATGGAGGGGTGGTGCACATTGTCCCGGAGCAGGGGGGTGCCCGGCGCAGGTGCGCATGCAGCGCCACACGACGCGGCGGCACGGCAACAGCGCGAGGACGCTGGCGGCTGCCGGCCACGGGCAGGCGATGCACGCTCTTGCCCGCGACGCGTGCGGGCGTGCGGGGCAGCAGGGCGCGGCACAGCAGTGCCCCGCGCAGCAGGCGGCGGCGCCGCACCGCCAGCGCCTCCCAGCGCTCGCCCTCGGTACCGTCGGGCGCAGAGAGGTCCCGCATAAACGTCTGCACAGGCAGGCAGGCGGGCAGGCGGGCAGGCAGGCAGGCAGGAGTACAGGAGTGAGCTGCCACTGCGTGGCCGCCATCCCACCGAGCAGCCCCGCGCCGCGTGTCGCGCCAACCGCGGCGCCTCGGCAGCCGCAGCCCCCGACCGAGCGGCCGCCCGCCCGCCCTGGCGCACCTTGACGTGGTTGGGGAAGAGGCGCATGGACTGCTGCCACACATCCTGCGGCAGCGGCGGCGGCGGCGGCACCTGGTCGCTGGACCAAACCGCACCACACGCAGCCACACTCGTGTGTGGGAGGGCCCGGGCCCAGACGGCTGCGCGGCCGGCCAGCCAGGCTGGCCAGGCGCATGCCAGCCCAGCTAGCCGGCACAAAACCAGCCCATCCCGTCCCAGCCCAGCCCGTCCCATCCCGTCCCAGCCCAGCCCAGCCCGTCCCAGGCCAGCCACGCGGCCCCGCCCTGCCCCCGGGGCGCACCTGCATGAGGCGGTGCGTTCCCTCCACAGCTTTCTTGTCTTCCTCCGCCATCCCGCCCTCCCGGCACATCTGCAGCGCAAACTTCATCTCCACCTGCGCGGCAGGCGCGGGGGGGGGGGGGGGGGGGGGGGGGCAGGAAGGGGGGGGGGGGAAGGGCCGG